GAGGCCCAGGAATGCGCGGAAGGTCTGGCCACCGAGCTGAATCGTGCCTCTCTGCGCCGCAATGCTTGCAGAAAGCCCACGAGTCGATGTTCTTGTTGCAGTTGCACTGGCTGCACCGCCAGCGCCTGCCGCTCCACTGGCCAGGCCACGCAGCCCCCTGCCCCCTGCCCTCGCGGCTGCCCCACTGGGTCGGGCCGCGCCAGGGCGGGGTGGGCTGCCAGGCACCGTTGCCTTGCCCACGCGACTGCCAGGAGCCATTGGACATGGCAGAGAGAATCTCTGTGGAGCGGTCAGAAACGAGCCACCTGACCCGATGCTGCAATGCCGTTCTGAAGTTCGCAGCATCAAACACACCTGCGCGCCAGAACGGCTAGGAGGAGGAAGAGGGGGAGGAGGGGGAGGAGGAGGAGGAGGAGGAGGAGGAGGAGCAGGAGGAGGAGGAAGAAGGACCGCCCTGGCCGCTGTCGCCGCCGCCGACGCCGCCGTCGCCGCCGTCGGCGTCATGCTCGCGGCCCCACAGGCGAACGGGAGAGAGGGTCCCCTCCCCCTCCTCCTCCTTTCCCTCCTCCTCGCTTCCTTCTCTTTGTTGCCCGCGCGCATCATCCCCGCTTCCGTGCCCATCGTGATCCACCTGGGGGACTTCCTGCAGCTGAAGCCGACGGGAGGCAAGGTGTCGCTCATCTCCAGCTTCGAGGAACTGGCGGCGGCGGGCATCAACCTCGCCCCAGAGTGCCAGGCAGTGATGAAGCTCTTCTGCAACACGCCGCTGTGCTTCGAGCTCCAGGCGTCCAACCACTTCAAGGACCCCGAGCTCCGAGATCTCATGGCGTTCCTGCGCAGACCGGGGAAGCAGACCCCTCCGGCCATCCGGGCCACGTGGAACGCCATGCAGCTGAAACCCAATGATCGCCGGCTCCGGGAGGAGAGGTTCCAGAACGGCCACATGATCGGGTCCTACTGGGACACCGTGGCGCGGTGGATGAACACGCGTGCTCAGCGGGACGCGGACGTCCTGAAGAAGCCCCTTTTCCTCGTGCAAGCCGCCGACAGGTCTGCGCCGACGATGAGCGTCAAGGACGCCGCCAAGATGATGAACTGTGCCAACCCGAAGAACACCGCTGGCATGCACGGGCTGCTCCCGGTGCACGTGGGCATGCGGATCCGGCCCCTGGAAACGCTCGACCTCAAGAACGGCCTCGTCAAGGATGCCGAGGGGCAGATCGTGCACATCGTCGTGGACCCTCGAGATCGGAACGACGTCGAGAGAGCCGAGAGAGAGGGGGCGAAGAGGATCTACCTGAAGCGCTTGCCGCTGGGGTTCTGGGTGCGCATGGAGAAGTACGCGAGCGCTCCCTTCGTGGACGACCTCAAGCGCCGCGACGACAGCCTCACGGGGGACCTCGCGGGCCCGCTGGTGTTCATCGAGCCCCGCACGTCGGAGCCGTTCACCTTCCGCACCTCCGAGGTCACGCGGACGGGCTTCCCGTTCTCGCACGGCAGGGTCATTGCCACGGCGGCGTGCCAGGGGCGCGCCATGCGCGAAGGCGACGGGGCGGGGGAACGGCGCTCCGGGGACGGCCAGACCTCCGGGGCGCGAGCAGTCCGCGGCCAGACCTCGGTCCTGTGGACTCTCGCCCTGGGCCGTCGGCTGCCCGGCGCACTGCTCCCTCGGCCGAGTCGCCCAGGTGTGATCCTGGACTGCGGCCGCCACGAGGTCGGGAACGGCAAGAAGGAGGACGACGACTGGTGGCTGGAGCTCTATGCGCTGCTCTCGCGCGCCACGCGCCACGAGGACCTCCTGCTCATGCGGGCGCCGCGCATCGAGTTCTTCCTGGCAGGACCGCCGGAGGGCCTGCGAAAGCAGCTGGAGCAGTTTGCAGCGCGCACGAAGCGGTGCAGGAGGGAGGCGACGGCCCTCGCCAGGGAGCTCGGCTTCACCGAGTTTATCCGCGAGGCCTGACCTGAGGAGCGCCCCCCCCGAGCCGCGCCTTCTCTCGACTGCCCGCATAATTGTTCGGCCTCGCGCCGCGGACGACCCGCGCGCGTCGCTGGGACCCTCTCGGGGCGACCAGCGCGCGTCGCGGGGATTCCGCGCGGCGCTCTGCTCAGCGCCTCGCTCGCCCGTCGTCGCTCTGCCCAGCGGCCGGAGCCTTGCCCGCAATCAGCCGGCCGGCTAGCTCTCTGTGCTCCGCGCAGCGGACGACCTGCGCGCGTCGCTGTGATCCCTCCGCGGCGACCTGCGCGCGTCGCGGGGGCTCCGCGCTGCTGTGCGCCCGCAGCTTTGATTTTTTGGAGCGCGCAGGCAAAGAGGGGGGAAAAGAAGGGGCGGAAGCGGGTGCGATCCCCGTGAGGGGCGTGCCGACATGGGCGTCGCGGCGCGCGGGCGCTGCCGTCGGGGTTCCCGCGGAAGCTGCCTGCGGCGGCCACGCCCAGTGTCACGAGTGTTCGGACAGGCATGCTCGAGCCATTCACATTCATATACATTTACACTAGGCGTAGCCAAGATCGCATTCATGCAAATATACTCACTCCCACGCAGACCCATTCACACTCAGACTCTCTCGCGCTCTGGCCCACCCGCGTTCATTCTTTCGTAATCTGACCTATCGTATTCCTTTGCGTCGTGTACCCCGCCATATTTCGGCATACCCCTCATGCGGTTCGTGGCCCCATACGGAGCGCCACCGAAGAAGGTACTCACAATTGCGGCACTCACAACTGCATATGGTTGGGTCTTTCGCCCGGATAATTGTTTTCAACGCGTGGGACCATATCCCGATTTCTACGCTGGTTTCAGGGGCAGCCAAGAGGACACGATGACGATCCAAGAGAGTGCCAAGACAGCGTTAGAGAGTTCAACAGCATTCCCGAAAAATCTGTGCATGTGACCCCGAAGTCTTGATGGGGCTCGAGGAAGAGGATAGGGAGTAGGAGTTCCAACTGGGAAAAAAAGGAAATCATTGGAATTCCTTGTTTTTTCAACTTCCTCGGTCTCTGATGTCTCTTGGAGGCTTTCTGGGAGCCAGGAAAGCCGACCGAAGGACATCTTGGGTTGCTTGGGAGCGTCTTTGGCCGTTCTTTTACATTCTGGAAGCCTCTTAGGGGTCGTCTTGGGCTGTCCTTGAGCGTTTTGGGCGTCCCCCGGGGACGGAACGCGCGATACCGGGAGCGTTCCGCAGATGTTCCGGGAAGGTGTGGGACCCCTGGGAGGGGGGGGGAGGGGGGCGTATTTGTGGAACTTGAAACAAACAAATAATCTATGGAATTCCTTTGTTTTCTCTAGTCCCTCGGTCTTTGAGCGTTGGAAGTGGGAAAACGTGAGAAGGCGAAAAACATAGAAAAACCAACGGAAATCAACGATGTTACCATTTTCGGGCTCTCTCGGGACGGCTCTCGAAGCTCTCTCGGGCTGTTTTTAGGGCCCCGTCGGGGCTTTTTGGGGGCCTCTCAAGGGTTTGGGATGTGTTGGAGGCAACTGGGGGGTCCCGGAGTCCTCTCGGAGGTCTCTGAGAACTCCTGCTCCCGCTCTTGGGCGCGTCTTGGGCATGCTCTGGGGTGGTCTGGAGCTGTGCTGGGCGCCTTTTCGGCAGTCTTGGGGCCTTCTTGGCCCGTCTTGGAAGCCTCTTGGGCGGTCTTGGGGCGGTTTTGGGGGCCTCTTCGGCTGTGTTGGACCGTTGGAAGCATGAAATGATGAGAATATCCGGGCGCTCTCGGGAGGCCTCTCGGAGCCCTATTGAGGTCTCTTGGAGGCCTCTTGGAAGCCTGGAGGGGGCGTCTTGGGGTCATCTTGAGCTGTCCTTGGACGTTTTGGGGGCTCCCCGGGAGGTCGGGAAGGGCGGTACCAGGAGCGTAATCCAAATGTCATCGAGGTGGAAGATACCCCGGGAGGGAGCCCGGCCTACTTGTTTATATGATATATATATATATATACACACGCGAAGCATAAGGATTCGAGCACCAGGATAAGGGCAATCTCTTGGACAGCATAAACCACTACGGATTCGAGCCCCAGAAGCAGGGCACACTCTAGGAATAGACGTCAAACACCTCAGGTTTCGAGCCCCAGGGGAGGGGCAACCTATCAGATGACACCTAACACACACATACACACACACACGCACGCACGCACGCACGCACGCACGCACGCACGCACGCACGCACACACACACACACACAAAAAAAAATAAAAAAAAAAATCGAGAACGCAGCGGACTCGAGTCCCAGGAAAGCGGTGACCAACCTATACGAATGTGAGGAGAACCAGGAGGAGCATCAGGAGGAGCAGCAGCAGGAAGAGCTCTGGAGGAGGAGGAGGAGGAGGAGGAGGAGGAGGAGGAGGGAGGAGGAGGCGGAGGAGCACTGGAGGAGGAGCGCCAGAGCAGCAGGAGCAGCAAGAGGTAACATCCCCAGCGTTCCTGGCATCCCTGGCAGACCGGAAGCCTGCGAGTTCCACACCGTGCTCGTGGGCACTAAAGCATGCCTGTCAACACTGCAACACGATTGTGAGCACAACTCCATACCTGAAGGGGAGCCAGCACCACCCACACTTACACTCGTTACCGTTACGGTGGGGGGGGGGGCGCCCCACAACGGACGTTCGGCTTCAACTGATGGAACAAAAAAACACTTCCCTGGACAGCTCCTATTGGGTAGGCCCAGCTGGCCTCAACGGCCCCCCCGAACAGTCCCAGCTGGCCTCGACAGGCCCCCCGAGCAGTCCGGGGCGGTCTCCATACCCTGACGCCGCCGCCAGCGCCGTCCCGTGGACGCTTCGCGCCCCAGGGATGAAGTGCTGAGTGCGCCCCGGAATGCTCGGGGAGCCTGCTGAGGCAAGCTGGGACTTCTCGGGGGGGCCTGCTGTGACTGCCCGAGGGCCCAGGGGACTGTCTGCGCGCAGCCCGAAGCCTCACCGAGAAACACTGGAGCCCCCATGGGCAACGGCCGAGCGGGGAATTTCGGAGCTGCTAACCGCATGTGTCGCGTCCCCAGGGGCTGGGCGCCTTGCGGCCAGCAGAATTGGCCGAGCCCATCTCTTTCTCGAAGTCCCCTGACGGGTTGGCCAGCGAAGCGCGTCGACACGAGGAAACCACGGCGAAAACATACAGTCAATGTATACACTACCCTCGCTTACACTCTCAATATCAAACCGTTGTTGCGCGTGCCACTCCAGCATTGGTTTTACACGTGCCGCTTTCAGGTGCATAAACGTAGAATAGGGGGTGTGGTAGAATACGCACGTCGAATCGAGCCTGGCTACCGCCTAAGTGCTGCAACAAATCCGCCAACCAGACCAATCGCGAATCTTTCTACCTCGTCACCGTTCGAAACACAACTCTTCTTCGTGACAGAGGCCGTGAAAGAAGTGGGCGGCGGGAAGCTGTTGAAGGCATGCTGAAGGTGATCTCCCGCAGTCAATGCGCGAGAACGTCATGCTTTATAAAGTCGTACGCGCATGCAACTTGATAATAGCGTTGATGGGAGTACGCGCGCGCAAGAAGGATGGTGCCCGTTCAGCAAGCGCGCGTGGCCTGCATCGTATGGTAGCATTGCAGGGTTGGCGCTCTGTCAGCATCGCGTGATAGCGTCTGTCAAGGATGGATGGGCTTCGGGCATGCATGATATGCATTCGTATGCATGATGGGCGTTGGGCGCATGGTCAATGTGCAATGGTGTCTTGCCCCCTGGATGCGACATGGACGGCTGTCACGAACTACAAACCTCAAGACATGCGCAATGCTTAGCAGTGAATGGCAGAAGTGCACGTAAATGGTGTGCAGTGTGTGCGGCTTTGCCGAACGAGCCACGACATGCGCTCCAAGCAGTGCAGTCTGCCTGGTGCCACACGTGGGGTGCACTCCACATCGTGCAAGGAATCGGCTGCAAGCTGCGAGGTGCAACCTATCAAGCACAAGCGCAACCGACTGCACGGGGGGCCCACGAGGCGCCACGGGCGCCTGCGCGGCGACAGCCCGAGGAACACCTAACCGATACGAGGCGCCCAGGAGGCGCCCGCGGAGCGACCACCCGGGACAGCAAGCCAGCGCCCGGGGCTCCCACGAGGCGCCCACGGGCGCCCGCGGGGCAGAAGTCCGAGTGCCCAGGCAGCGCATGGGGCTCACGCGAGGCGCCCACCGGGGCGAGGACCCGGAGCACCCAGCCCACCAAGCGAAACCCTGGCCCCCCCCCGCACTGACTCAAGAAGACAAGTGAGAACCCCCAAGTGCAAGCACTGTCAGGGAAACGAAATCAAGCACTGTCAGGGAAACGAAGTCAATACAACATGCCAGGGCCAGATCTGGGGTGAGCCCGCAGAATAGATATTCCTTGATTGGCATTGGCTAACCAGGACGCGCGATGGTATTCGGACGCGCGTGGCAAAAGAAAGACTGAATCCCCCCTTCGCATTTGAGACTTTATACTTTTGGTTGGAGTCGGTGGTGTTTCTTGTTGGTGGTCATTCATGACTGTTGTTGTCGTGGCCGTTGTTCCCACAATCCAGTCCCCCCTTTCTCCCTCTCAATCTCTCTCTCTCTCTCTATCACTCCCTCTCTTCTTTTCCTTCCACACTCATACTCACGCGCAGACCAGCCAATGAAACCCCTATGGGACGCCATGCGAATGTCTCTACTGGGGCCATTGCTTGAGATCCGTTGAAAGGATGCTTGTAGCGAGGGATCCTGAGGAAAGATTCCTTGAGTGAGGGGTCATTAGTTATACTTTCTTTAGTAAGCAGTCATTCGTGAGAATGCCGGCATCCAGGACGTCTTCGTAAGGATCCCTTTAGCGAGAAAGGATGCCTCTAGTAGGCATCTATACATAGGGCGCCTTTTCGCAAGGAACCCTTAATAAGGATCCCTTCAGTGATGAACCCGCAGGAAGGATCCCTGTAGTCAGGATTCGCTACCAATGTTTCCTGCAATAAAATTTCCTGAACAAAGATGCCTTTGGCAACAACAACCTTAGTAAAGATGTTTCCCGTGAGGCCTCGGTAATGGAGATACTGTTAGTAAGGATCCCCGCCGTCAGAATCCATGCAATGGGGTTCTTACTACGACTTCCTTTGTAATGCGGATTCCTTCGTAAGGATGCCGTCCGTAAAGGATCCTGAGTAAGGAGACATTTTGAATAAGGAGTCCTCAACGGGGAAATGGAGGGGGGCGCGGCTGCTCTTCCATGAGTCCCACAACAAACAGGATAGAGGTGGGAGGAGGACATGGTTGCTCGCTCTCTTTTGTGTCTCTCTCCCTCTCTCTATCTCTCTCTCTCTCTCACCCTAGTGTCTCTCTCTCTCTCTCGCTCGTTCCGTCCCTCCCGATCCTTGGTATGGGGAACCCTTGATGATGATATCTTCAATGCAAACTCATGAATAAAGGGTATCTTTGTATCAAGGGCTCCGTGGTAAAGGTACCATGTTAGTAACCCATGCGTATTAAGGATGGTTTCGGAAGGATCTCCTCATAAGGCACCCCCCCATTGTGGTAAGGATTCAACCCTCATGATTCCTTTAACAGAAGCCCTTCACATCACTGTCGTTCGCACGGGATGCTTAGCAATAATGTGTGTAATACGGCCTCCGTCGTGGGGGCCTCTGCAACATAGGTCCCCATCGGTAACCACCCCTGTAACACGGACTCCTTACGAATACTTCCGCGATGACTCTTTTCGTGGGGATGAAAGTAATACGGATCCCATCAGGAGACCTCATGTAGCAAGGACTCCGTACTGCGACTTCCCTTTGGTAACGGCTATATACTAAGGGTGCCCTCAATAAAGTAGCCCGAATAAGCATCCCGGTGGTACGAGTTCCTTCGGACACGCCACGCCCCCCGTCCCCCCCCCCTCTCCACACCAGGCCATCCGACGACCACCAGCACAAGTGCAACCTGTGGGATGGGACTGCATGGGCGTTAGAGGCCGCCGCCGCCGCCACCACACAAAACCACGAAAGCGCACCAATACTGCATGTAGACGGGGCCCCGCTGAAAGGCAGAGACAGAGCCCGCCGAGAAACGCGGGTGCCTGCACGCGCGTTGTGTGTCGCAGGGGGATGGGGACACCCGATCCTGAAGCAAGTCTTGTAGAGTAGGGCCGAGTAGGGGAGCGCGCAGGCTCGTTGCTGGGTGTAGCTGCATGTGGAGTCGATAAGGTGCGGGACAAGCGAGTACAATGAGAGCAAGTAGAATGTGGTCCCCGACCATTCCCATCCGCCCCGCCCGCTGGTGCAGCTGCTCATGGGAAAGACGCTCATTCATACAAGAGTCCATGACTGCAGTGAGTGAGTTTATACGTCAAACGCTACGTCTTCGAAGTCAATATGCAAGGGCAAACCGACAGATAAAAGTAGGCTTCGGCTACCTCCTCGCAATTCGCGATATCACACAACACTTGGGCACCAACTACTTGCATGCCCGCAGCCCACGCGTCTGATAAGTGCACACACAGAAATCAAGGCATGCGTTCCCAATCGGAAGAATCGCGTGTCTATCGTGACATGAACCATCATACAAAAAATACATGCCGCCGTTGCCTCCGACGGATGGAACGAATGTCTTTCCATCGGGCGGGGTTGCCACTGCTCCTTGCCAAAAATCACCCCCCACTGTCATCCGACCAGCTGGAACCATGAGCCCACCCCCAAACGATCCCTGCCAACAAAAACAACATGGACGTGGTGGCAAATGTGCTTCGTGAGCGAGACCCCAGCGAATACTTTGAATCTGACATCACACAAACATGGCGATTGTGAGGGCATAGCTATCCGCTGTGCGCTGCACCATTATCCCTGACAAATACGAATGCAAACGCATTGCAGGTGGCTGTTGACACAGACGGTGAGGGGGTCGACATTGTCAGATGTGTGGTGCCACGTGTACTTGCGCAACTGTCGTACTCTGTGCGCGTCGCGCACCTGTCACGACTGGAGCAGGTGGCGCACTCGGCGCATATTGAACACTAAGCGCGCCTGGCACGCTCGGGTTGTCCCTATTGTTTTTTTTCTAAGCCAAGTGCCGCAGAAGAGTTTTGCACATTCCACCTCCTTGCTTGTCGCGCGCGGGCAGTAAGGCCGAGCTGCAGGAGGCCCGGCAAGACCCTTACAGAACCCAGCTTCTGCGACAACAGCTCGCGCTGTATGGAAAAATCGGTAGGGCGTCGAGCCAAGATTTTCTTAGACAAGCCACTTTCAAGCCTGACGCTGTTCTCTCTGCCACGGCCGCGCTCACACGCAACCGTGGTCGACCGCAGAGAGAATGGGCATCGGAGTGTTAGAATGATCTCTCGCCGAGTTCCAATTTGCATGCTTTGCTTCTACAGTGCATACATGACCCTGTACGATGGGATGGTTTTGTATAGCGCCACGCGCAACAGTGCGGCGAGTACATAACCCGCGTAGAACTGTAACCCCAGGAGAGGGGCAATCGATAGACACACACGTAAAACAGACCGAAGTGCTAACTGGCGCGAGACTTGCACAGAAGTCTCAGAAGCTCCGGAGAATGGGTAGCTAATGAAAATGATGCGGGACGTCACGAGCCACGCACAGCAGTATCAGAAGCCCTGTACAACAGACAGCCCATGACAGTGGTGCAAATTGGCGCGAGCTACGCACAAAAGTATCAGAAGCCCTGTACAGCAGACAGCCACTGACAGTAGTGCGAATTGGCGCGAGCCCAGCACACAAGTCTGATAATGCACTGTCGTTCCGTCCATCGCCCCTCCCACTCGCCCGCGATTCTACAAACGACCCCTCCCGATCCCTCAAAAAGAGACCGCTCCCAGTCCGAAGGGAGAGGAAGACGGGGAAACGGACAAAGCGGGAACCAACAGAAAAGGATGAGGAGGGGGAGGGAAGGCAAACCATGCAAGCCCGAGGCATACGACAAGTTCGCTGCCGATGCGGCGCGCGGAGACGCTCGGGTTGTCCCTAATGGCTGCCCATACGATGGCATCCTCTGCCTAGGCTGAGTCTCGGGTGATACTTCTACGGTGGAAGTGCGGGTGGGCGTGAGCGAGACAGCTTGTGGCGTACCAATTGGAAGCTCGACCATCGATCCTTATCAATAAACATGCGTTCGCCCCACTCGACAGGCGGCCGACCAGGAGCCATGCCTGCACCCCCGCCCCCCCCACCGTTCCTGTCGAACAAATAGCCTGGCGGAAAACCCGACCTTTTCTAAACACGCGGCGGCTTTACACAGGATCGCACCATACACAAAACCAAACTGAGGGATTGGCCGTACCACTGAACGCTTCGCAAAGGAAGGTCAGACCGCACTCACCGTTCACCACTTGCGCAAGTACTCTCGCGACTCGAGTCAAACGGGGCGACCACGAAGAGTGTGAGGAGCGTGCCGAGATGGGGCAAGACGACGCCATGCGAACGCAGCCACTGGAGCGTTCGGCGGAGCACTCTATACGGCCACGGAACGTGCGAAGGGTCCGCGGGGATGGGGAGAGGCACCGCGCGAAGGCAGATACTGAAGCGTTCGGTGGAGCTCCATAAGGGGGGGCCACGGAAAATTTGAGGGGTGTACCGGAACGAGGCGGGGCACACCATGCGAACCCAGCCACGAGTGCCTTCGGTGGAGCTCCCAATGAGTCCACGAAACGCGTGCGCGGCGAGCCGAAATGCAGTGGGTCACCATGTGGGCATTCGGCGGAGCTCCCGGTGGGCACACGAAACGTGTGAGGGGCGCCCCGAAATGGGCCTGCTGTGGAGCTCCCCAGGGGGCCGCAAAATGTGTGCGGGGTGTGCCGACAAGGGGCGGGTCACCATGCAACCCCTGCCATTGGGGCTTTCGGTGAAGCTCCGCAGAGGGTCGCGAAACGTGTGAAGGGTGCGCCGAAACTGTGAGGAGGATGAAGACGGTGGTCACATTGATAGAAATGATGGTGATGGTGACGATGGTGGTGACGCTGACTATGACGATGCTCACGATAACGGTGATGCTGATGACAAGGTCGAGGAGGAGAGGTGGGGCGCAGCGCTGCAGATTCAAAACAAGGGATCAACTCACAGGAGGGTTTGGCACAATACCATGCGCGGGGGATGCGCGATTACTCTTATGTATGGTTGGCAACGATGGCAGGGTGCCCGCAGATTGTCTGGTATGCGCAGGCCCAGAACCCTTGTTAAAACAACAATGTAAGGTGAATGTGGAGGGCCAATGTGTGTACTAGCTCAACTGGCACACTCTGCTCGCCCCGCGCACGTGGCGCACCTGGCGCGGGTGGTGCACGCGGTACACTTGGCGGATGTGGAGAACGTGGTGCGGCGCCTGGCGCACCTGGTGCGCGTGGCGCACCTGGCACGCGCGGCGCGTCACGCAACTGGCGCCTGTTTCATGTTGGCTCCCCCTGTGGCTGTCCATCCAAACAAGGAGGGTCCTTCGGCCCCTCCACTGGGTGTAGGGGGTGGGGGGGGGCGAGCGGTCAAAGCGTCCAAGGTGGCCCAACATGGCTCAAGAAATCGCAGGATGGCTAACGACGACTGCCAACATGCCTCAAATAGGCTCCAAAACTGCCCAAAGACGCTCCAAGTGGGCAGTGAGCCTCCCAAGGACGCCCTTGAGATGTACAAAGCGTTCATATATATATATATATATATATATATACAGCCCGCCCTGATTAGACGAGTGCCAGATCTATTAGATGACATACGCAGCCCTGACCGGTGCCGACGGTGACGACGACGGGCAGGAGCGCTTCTTTACATCATATGTGTGAAGCACGAGCCAGGCACGGCAGATAACTGCCGGACGAGAGGTACTAGCATTGACCACCTATTGTAACAGACGGCGAGGCACATACAGATGAGGTCCCAAGAAAAAGGCTGCATTAAAAAGGATTCAAGTGAGGGCGGCATGCGGGTGGGTGCACTTGAGCACATATGTCAGCGGAGAACCGAAGGCAAGACCTGACATAACGAACGTGCGGCACTCTCCCCCAGGGCTCTGCATCACGTTGTTAAAACTGTCCAGCCCGCCCTGATTAGACGAGTGCCAGATCTATTAGATGACATACGCAGCCCTGACCGGTGCCGACGGTGACGACGACGGGCAGGAGCGCTTCTTTACATCATATGTGTGAAGCACGAGCCAGGCACGGCAGATAACTGCCGGACGAGAGGTACTAGCATTGACCACCTATTGTAACAGACGGCGAGGCACATACAGATGAGGTCCCATACCCCATAAGGAAGATATGGCCTGTAGCTTTAGCCGTAAGGCCGAAGAAAATATGAAGGTTGCTAGATGTGGAAAGCAGGCGGCTTACATATTAAATCGGCCATGGTTTGTTGTGGTTTTTTCAGAACAGCCTCTCTGACAATTTTGGCCAACACCGTGCACAGGCTAGCGGGATAGGCGGCGGCCAACGCAGTATATTTACAGCCCTCTGGGGCCTGGCCCGTGAGAATGGTATGCCGATTATGCGTGCGAGAGCAAAGACCCCGGCGGCCCTTACAGAGCCGATGCAAGTCGGAAAGAGGGCCTGTCTTCCAGGCCGCAATCCTCGTCCTTTTTTGCCAGGGTGTACCGAATTGGCACTGATCAAAATCACACACCCGTGCACACTGCGAAATGATGAGGGACGAAAGAAGCTTGGCATGCCACATTAAAGAACTAGCAGGGTTCTCGAGCATCACAGGTATGCTTAACTTACAGCATAAACGTATGATGCGACATGTAAAGTAGAACGAGGCGTTGCCCGTAGTCAGGCGGGCAATCTCAGATGCCGAGAGGCCGCCGAGGCCCATCGGATGGGCGCGCGACCTCAGAGCCTTCCGGAGCGCTCGAGACCACGTCGTACAGGGCGTACCTAGGAAGACGGCTGCCACGGCGCGGCTGCGGAGCCAGCCGGACACCACCCGCTCGAAATCGCGGCGGCAGTGGTCCTCCAGCGGCGACAGCCGGAGGTCCAGGCCGAGCGCCGACAAGCCCAGGCGGCGGGCGGCGGCAGAGAAATGGCCACTGCCGCAGAAAAGCTCCAGAACCACCCGACGTCGGCACAGCGAGCCGCGGCTGACCGCAGCCTTGAAGCGGCGCCGCAGGTGGTCGGCGCACTCGGAGCTGCCCAGTCGCGGCCGCTGACGCCCTGGGCCGGCGGCAGCACTGGCGCCGGCACAGCAGGCAGCGCCCAGCTGCGGCTGGCAGGCCGTCGCCTCGCACGCTCGGGCCGCGCTGGACCGCCCATGAGCGCCTCCAGCAGGCTGGCCGGAGTGCGCCGCTGCAGCCCCGCGCCTGCGCAGCCCTTCACGATCAGCAGCGCGGAGCTCTGCGCGGCCAGGTCGCCGAACACGTACATGGTCGAAAGCACGCCCCTCAGCTCGCGGAAGAGGGCCGTCCCCTTCGCGTACCTCATCATCGATGATGGCACAGCCCAACAGCCTCGCTGGTAAAACTGCTCCTGCGACCTCCACTGGGACAAAAGGACGTCGCTCTCGTCGGAAGCCCCCGTCTCGCCCGCCTGCCCGCGGCCTGCGGGGTGGAGGAGAAAGTGCCAGAACTGGCAGGCTGGGCCCGCTGGCGCCGAGGGCTCCACGATGCTGTCCGTGGGCAGCCGCTGAGTCTCGGCGGGCCTGAGGTATACCGAGAACGGCCTCGCCAGCCGCGCCGCCCTCGGCGCCTGCTGCCAGGCGATACGGACGCCCACCAGCACGAACATGACCGCCCTCGGGGTGGGCAAACGCGTGCGGGTCATGGCCAGCCTCCGCCGCGCCTGCAGAGCACGTGAGGCGCGGGGCAAAGGCGAGCCCACCCGCCTGTGGAGCCCCGGCGTGAAGAGCGTCAGCGCTGCCACCGTCTGCGGTCCGACGCTCGGCACCGCCTCCGAGATGTAGCGAAAGGTGCAGTACTCGACGAGCAGGCAGTCCAGCTCGCGCGAGTGGCTCCAATCCCGGCGGTGGACCCAGCAATACGTGAGGAACGTCTGCAGGAGCCGCCTGTACATGGCCTCCGTGTTCGGCCATACGGACAGCTGCCCCAGGAGCGTCAGGGCGCCCACCAGAGGCCGCCCGCGCGCCGCCGCCGCCGCCAGCTGGGCGCGCTGACGAGTCCGAGCTGGAGACGTAGGGGCCATCTGCCTCTGCATGGCCTGCGCCTCGCGTGCCAGAAACCCGAGCAGAAGGCCGAGCGCCGCGACGGCCAGAGCGGGTCCTCGCATGGCCAAGGTGTCGATGGCCGGTGAACCAGCCAAGCTTGCCTCTGCTGAGGCCGTCTGCTGGGTTACGCTCCGAGGCAATCCAGCGGACCAACAACTTCGAGCCAGTGGCCAAGGACAGTGCACACAGCTGGTTCAGGCACGACCTCAAGTGTCTTGACCGAGCCCTTCCTTTCGCGCAGGCGAGGGCTAAGGGGAGGTTGTCCACAAGAGCGACCATGCGAGCCCCATGAGCGCCCAAACCTCGGAGGAGATGGCGATAGGACGTGACCAGGGCCTCCCCCTCCAGGTACAGTATGTTGGCCCCCGTGGAGACCGACTGCGCCGAGACTGACTTCCAGGCATCCATGCGAGTAAGGTGCCCAGGAACCTCCTCCATGTCCCAAGAGTCGCCCTCGACGTAAGAGGCATTGGCACGCGTGAGGCTGTTGTCTATCTTGAGCTCCACGTGGGGGTCCCCGTGCTGGCCCTTGGAGATGAAGGGGCCCTCATGCAGGCCCACGTGCTCCACGTAGGGGTCCCCGTGCTGGCCCATGAGCTCCTTGTAGGGGTCCCCCTGCAGGCCCGGAGAGGTACACGTAGCTCCCAAGACACACGATGACGCCAAACCTGCTTGACCGCCCACAGGGCTAACGTGATGAACACCGAGCTGTGAAGGGTCGATTGGAGAAAGCGGCCGAGAGGGGTCGACGTTTTCTGACTCAACGCTGGGGCGCTCCAGGCCGCCCTCTCGCAGTGATCGGAGCCGGGCCTGGTGCCCGCCCTCGACCTTGAAACGCCACTTCTCCGAGCAGCGCCCGACGGCGGCGCAGACGGCCCGAGGCGCGCGTCTCCGCATCACCCCAAGACCGAAAGGCGATGCGTCGCTAGCCGTCAGCGTGGGGTGCCACGCGGCAGCGAGGTCGCCGGACAGGACGGGCAGGAGGTCACGGATGATAGTTAACTCCTTCGCCGCCGCCGCCCAGATCCTGCCCTGCCTCTCGCCGTAAGCCGCCACGAAGCCGTAGGCGCTGTGGAGCACCGTGAGTACCTCCCGGCGGATCATGGACGACCAGGTCACATGGCCCAGCACCGCACGCATCATGTGGCCGCTGCACCAGCCCCGCCTCAGAAGCCCAGTGATTGCCGAGTGCAATCGCCAGATGTTCCGCGGCTTGATCCTGAGGTACCTCCCGTGCTTCAAACTGAGGCCCAAGAAGTCCAGGTCCTTTGCGGCGGGCTCGATCTCGTGGACAGGAAGCCCTCGAGCACGGAAGGCGGCCACCAGCCGTGTCATAGCCAGGTCGACCGCGCCCTTCTCCGCACCGAAAGCCAGGATGTTGTCAACGTAAGCCCCGACGCCGACGGAGACCGGGTCCGTGACCACAACGCCGGCTTGGCCGTCCATGGCGGTCATGGCCCTCTCATGGCCCTCCGCAGCAAGGACAGCGCGCGCAGCCGACTGGCAGAAGTGCAAAGCCCACGAGAAGCCCATCGGGAGGACGGTCACCATGGGCGCCACGCGCGAGAGAGGATCGAAGTCAAGGTCGATTAGGCCGAGCTCTTGCAACACGGCGACCGAGATCGACGGCAGGGTGAACAGCGTCTCCATCCCGCGCGGCAGCCGCATGTGGTAGAAGGCGCACTCCAGGTCGCACGTGGAAAGGTACATGCCGTCTGCCGGGGCTTCAATTGCGCTGAAAGACGCAGCTGAGGGAAGCCTCGTAGCCGGCGGATCCAAAAACTTGCAGTTGGCGGCCCTCGTGTCGAAAATTATCCTGAGGGCCCCCGACTTCTTGGGCACAAAGAAGAGACCGACGGTGTGGGGCTGACCGGTGTCAGCCGCGAAAGTAACCATCTGCCTCCGGTGCATCTCCATCAAAAACTGGCCATAGGCGGTCGCGTCCCGGAACAGGTTCGGGTCGCAGTACGGCCCGCGCGGGCAGGCCGAACGTGCCAAGGCCTCGGCGGACTGCCGATCTCGAAGCATATGGCTCTGCCATCCCTCCAGCCAGGCCTTGTCATGGGGCTGCACCAACTCGACAAGCTCGACGGGCGCGGCACCACCAGCGGGCCATGCGACTCGGTCGCGGACGTAGGGGGACGACGAGGCGGCGCCCGAACCGTACAGGTTGGCGCAGGAGAGGAGCTCCCGGAGGGCCCCGTCTTGACCAGAACGCGTGTCCCTGAACTCGGGCGGCGGCGCGCCCAGCTCCTTGACGCATCGGTCGATATGCACGATGGCCTGGCGCTGCCCCTCGTGCGCAGCAGACGGAGGCGAGGACCGAGTGCCATAGAGTGAATTGAGTGCATTGGTGGCCGCTCGAACACGATCATCATGATGAGCGCGAAGGCCGCGCCGACGAGCAGCGCGTCGACCGCCAGGCTCCACAGCTCGCGGAGCAGCGGTCGGTGTGACCGGCAGCGGGAAAACGTCGCGCTGGCGTCGTGTCCCTGGCGGCCGGGGGCCTGCGGCGGGAGCCGCGAAGCAGTCCCGAGGGGAGGCTGGCCCGTCTGCCCCCCCTCGGCTCATCTCAGGCATCGGCGCCTGGGGTATTGCCGCCCCCACGGCCCCGTCGCCCTCGGCCTCGGCCGCCGCGGCCACGGCCTCCGCGCCCCTCGCCGCCGCCAGAGCCAGCAGCGCCAGTCCCGGCGGCAAAAGCACGCTCCTCGCGAGCCTTGCGCCGTTCCTTGGCGATCGCCGCCTCGCGCGACTTCTCGGCAGCCAGCCAGTCGCGCAGCGCCGGGGCCATGCAGATGCCGCTGCCCGCATCCTGGACGCCGGACAGCAGCGCGGCGTCGTTCCCATGCTCGGACGTGGGCGCGAACCTGTCGCGGTACAGCTCCTCCTGGGTCTGAAGCGTGCGGCCAACCAGCTCCATCGACGCTAGATTGGTCGCGTGGGTCTGATCATACACGACACCGAACTCCAACAGCCTGCAACACAGCAGGTGCACGTCCACCCCTGGATCCTCGTCGTCCAGGTAGGCCTCAGCCTTCCACTTGGTGTGGCGCCCGAGCGGTGTGCCACCGTTGCGGCATATGTAGTTCAGCACCCACAACAACGTCCTTGGCCCTTTGAGCGGCCAGTCATGCCACGGCAGCTCGTGCATCCTCATCACGGCCGTCCTGAAGTCGACGTAACGGACCCCCTGGGAGTCCTGGACGACGGCCTGCATCCGTGCGTCGCCGCCAGGGGCCGCCGCTACTGCGGCGAAAGCATTCGCTAGGGCGCCCGCCCCTATGTCGGCCCATCCAGGTGCGGCGGCCGCTGCGGCGGGCGCGGCGGCTGCGGGAGCGGGGACGCCCACGGGCCCGGCGGCCAGCGGAGCGCCAGCCGCGAGGGCGCCGGCCACCGGCACAAGGCCGCCTCCCAGCGCGGCCCCAGCAGGCGCTGCGGCCGGCACGAGCGCGCCTGCCGCTGCTCCAAGGGCCGCCGCACCGACCGCAGCGGGCGCCCCCAGGGCCGCCGCGAGGCCCGCCACGCCGCCAGCGGCCGGGCCGCCCGCGGCGGCAGGGACACCAGCAGCAGCAGGAGCGACAGCGGGCGGCTCTATGACCCGGCCCACGGTGTTCAGGGCCACGGCCGGACCCTGAGCGAGCCCGAGCGTGCCCCGAGTGGCGGTGGCCGCGGCAGCGACGGCAGCCGGCAGAGGCAGGGCGCGGAACCGGTAGACCTGGTCCCCTCCAGTCGCCGCCGAGTTGCCTCCAGCGGCGCCTCCAGCTGTGATGCAGAACTCGGCCACGTCCGCGCCTCCATTTGCGATGATCTCGACGTAGTCGTGCCCGTCCGGGGTCAGGATCCCGCACCCAAAGGGCTCGACAGGTTGGAAGGCCAGGAGGAGGCGCTCATGCCAGATCCTCGCCCCCCCGACCTGGTATCGGATCAAGATGAAGTCCCCCTCATCCAGGCCGAGGCGGGCGAGGGGATGGCCCGCGGCCGCGGCGGCCGCCGCCGACATGGCCTCACTGGACCTGCAGCCGCCCGCGAACCAGAGCAGCCTGGGCACGGGCCTCCACCTCGAACTGGTCGGTCGTCGTCAGAGCCCGCGTCGGAGCAGGTGGAGTGAACCAAAAGCCCAGCAACGCGCCAGCGGCCAGGCCCAGCACCGCGGCCAGCACGACGGCCGACAGCGGCCAGGTCCCCACCTGGTGTGGGCAGTCCAGCCTCTGAGGCTCCGACCCACTGCCACACACCAGCGATGGCTTGCAGGTGCACGGCGGACACTCGGGCTTCGCCGCCCAGACCGCCAGGCTCGTGGTGGCGGAGCGGACTGCTTCGGTTGTGAGCCACTCGCTGAAGCTCATCGAGCAACCTTCCTCAATGCACTTGAGCACATATGTCAGCGGAGAACCGAAGGCAAGACCTGACATAACGAACGTGCGGCACTCTCCCCCAGGGCTCTGCATCACGTTGTTAAAACTGTCCATATATATATATATATGTATGTGTATATATATACATAAAAAATGAATTATATATATATATATATAAAAACATATGTATCGGAAAACGGGGGGGAATCCGACGTAAAACGGAGACCCCCCCTGCCGGAAAATCGATTTTTGGTTTCGGGTTCGTGTCGTGCGTGCGGTGCGTGCGTGCGGGCGAGACGAAGCTGCGTGGGCGGGCAAGAGGAAATCCTCCTGTGGCTGGGCCGCGGCCGGACCAAATGTAACTCCTCCGGCGGCAGGTGCCGCGCGGTGTCCGGCAGGTGTCCCGAAATCCTCCTGTGGCTGGGCCGCGGCTGGGACACAGCGGGACACCCGCGGTGTCCCGCCGGTGTCCCGCTGTGACCCGTGGTGTCCCGTGGTGTCCCGTTGGGTGAGATCGATCGTGAGATCGATAGTGAGATCGATACTGAGATCGGTGTGGTGCCCGAAGGTGTCCCGTGGTGTCCCATTGAGTGAGATCGATAATGAGATCGATACTGAGATCGATGTGGTGCCCCGAAGTGTCCCGTGGTGTCCCGTTGAGTAAGATCGATAGAGAGACCGATAGCGAGATCGACAGGTGTCCCGTGGTGTCCCGTTGAGTGAGATCGAAAGTGAGATCGATGTGGTGCCCCGAGGTGTCCCGTGGTGTCCCGTTGAGTGAGATCGATAGTAAGATCGATAATGAAACCGATAGTGAAATCGAGACGTGTCCCGTGGTGCCCCGTGGTGTCCTATGGTGTCCCGCTGAGTGAGATCGATAATGAGATCGATAGTGAGATCGACAAGTGTCCCGTGGCACCGCGGGACACCTCTCGATCGCACTATCGGTCTCACTATCGATCTCACTATCGATCTCACTCAGCGGGACACCATAGGACACCACGGGGCACATCGGGACACCACATCGATCTCACTATCGATCTCACTATCGATCTCACTCAACGGGACACCACGGGGCACCTCGGGACACCTGTCGATCTCACTATCGATCTCTCTATCGATCTCACTCAACGGGTCACCACGGGACACTACGGGACACCTCGGGGCACCACATCGATCTCAGCATCGATCTCACTATCGATCTCACTCAACGGGACACCACGGGACACTACGGGACACCACGGAACACCACATCGATCTCAATATCGATCTCACTATCGATCTCACGATCGATCTCACTCAACGGGACACCACGGGACACCACGGGTCACAGCGGGACACTGGCGAGCCACCGCGCGGCATTTGGTCTGGCCGCGGCCCAGCCACAGGAGTACTTCGGAACACCAGCGCGGGACACCGGCGGGACACCGCGCGGCACCGGCCGCCGGAGGAGCAACATTTGGTATTGCCACGGCCCAGCCACAGGAGGATTTCCTCTCGCCCGCCCACGCAGCTTCGCCTCGCCCACACGCACGCACGGCATAAAGAGGTTTGGGGGAGCGAGGAACCAACGTCTCACTCGATCGGTCCCGCTATCTATCTTATTCTCACTATCGGTGCCGCTCGATCGATCTCGCTCGATCGATCTCACAATCGATATCACTCGATCTATTTCATTCGATCGATCTCACAATCGATATGACTATTGATCTCACAATCTATCTCACTATCGATCTCACAATATAGCTCACACTCGGTTTCACTATCGATATCACTATCGGTATCACAATCGATTTCACCATCAACGTCATCATCATCATCGATATCACCGTCATCACCGTTATCAACATCATCATCATATCGGGACACCATCATCATCACCTCATCACCATCATTATCAACACCATCATCATATCATCGTCATCGGGACACCACCATCGTCACCATTATCATCAACATCATCATCATCGGGCCACCATCATCATCATCACCCTCTCACGATCTTCATCATGAACAGCATCGTCAGCATCATCATCATCATCGGGACATCATCATCATCAGAAACATCAACATCATCAACATCATCATCATCATCATCGGGACACCATCATCATCGTTACCATCATCGTCACCATCATCATTATCACCCGGAAACCATCATTATCATCAATATCAGCATCATCATCATCATCATCATCATCGGACGGACCACCATCATCAGAATCATCATCACATCACCATCATCATCCTCAGCAACATCATCACCATCAAACACCATCATAGGCATCATCATCATCATCAGCCTCATCATAATCGGGAAACCATCATCATCAGCACCATCACCATCATCAACAACAGCATCATCGCATCATCATCATGATCATCATCACCATCATCATCATCATAATCATCATCATCGGGACCCCTTTCATCATCATCGTCATCATCATCATCATCATCATCATCATCATCATCTGCATCATCATCATCATCTCATCACATCACCACCGTCATCATCAACAAAATTGAAACCATCAGCATCATCATCGGGACACCATCATCCCCATCAACATCAGCAGCATCAACATCATCATTTTCGGGACACCATCATCATCACCACCATGGCCATCATCATCATCAGCATCACCATAATCACCATCATCGGCACACCATCATCGTCATCATCATCATCATCAACATCATCATCATCATCGGGGCATAGTCATCACCATCATGATCGGCACACCACCATCATCATCATCATATCATCATCATGAACAACATCATCAACATCATCATCATCGGGACACCATCACCATCATCAGCAACATCATCATCATCAACATCATCATCATCATCGGGACACCATCATCACCGTCGACATCAACATCATCATCATCACCATCATCATCATCATCATCGTCGGGACACCATCATTATCATCAACATCAGCATCATCATCATCGGGCCACCACCATCAAAATCATCAGCACCACCTCATCATCATTCTCATCATCACCATCATCATCATCATCAGCATGGGGACACCATCATCGTCATCATTAGCATCATCATCAACACCATCATCATCATCATCATCATCATCATCATCATCATCATCATCGGGACACCATCATCATCACCATCATCATCATCAACATCATCATCATCATCAACTTCATCATCATCATCGCCGACACACCACCATCATCATCATTAGCTTCATCATCTTCATTATCAACATCATATCATCATCACCAACATCATCATGATCATCAGCATCATCGTCATCATCATCATCGTCATCGGGACACCATCATCATCACCACCATGGCCATCATCATCATCACCATCGTGTACACCATCATCATCATCATCATCACCATCATCATCATCATCATCATCATCATCATCATCATCATCATCATCATCATCATCGGGACACCGACGGGACACCGGCGGGACACCGGCGGGACACCGCGCGGCACCGGTTGCCGGAAGGGAGACTTTGGTCCGCACGCACGCACGCACGGCACGCAGCTTCGCCTCGCCCGCACGCACGGCACGCACGAACACGAAACCGAAACCGATTTCCCGGTAGGGAGGCTCTCCGTTCCACTTACCTCCGATATATATATATATAACAATTTCACACATACATATATATACGCATATTTAGATGTGTATATATATATATAATACTAGAACCATCGCGCGCGCTTCGCGCGCGCTCAGGTTCTAGCAGGCCCCAGGCCTTGACGAATTCACTGCTCCATTGAAATAGTTGACCACAGTACACGCTTGCCAATCTGCTTTCCGAAATGCCTTCGAGGAAAATGGTTGTGTAGGGGGGCGGAGGCCGTGTGAATCGGGCTCCCAAAAGGCTTCTGGGAGCATGGGTTTGGGGGCGTCTTGGGGAGCCTGTTGGGGCGTGCCGTCGTCGTCGTCGTCGTCGTCGTCGTCGTCGTCGTCGTCGTCGTAATGTCGTCGTCGTCGTCTTCGTCGTTTCGTCGTCGTCGTCGCTTCAAGATGGCACTCGGGGCAACTTTGTGCGAAACGATCTGCGGAGGGCCGCGAGAAGGCGATCAGTCATGTTTCCAATCACCTTCCCAGACAGCTCTCCTGTAGCATGATGGTACTTCGAAGCCTCCGGAGACCCGCGGGCCCATGATGAACCATGTCCCCGAAGGCTTTCTGGGGACATGGTTTGTTGGGGTGTGTTGGGGGGTCTCTTGGGTGTTCCCTAGGGGCCCCTTGGGGGCCTCCGGGAACTCTCGGGCCCATGATGAACCATGTCCCCGGAAGGTTTTCTGGGGACATGATTTCTTGGAGTGTATTGGGGGGCCTCTTGGGCGTTCCCTGGAGCCCCTTGAGGGTCTCTTGGGGCTTCCTGGCGGCCTCTTGGGCGCCTCACGGGGCTTCGTGGAAGCCTCTTGGTGGCCTCCGGGGGCCTACAGGCGGCCTCTAGGGCCAGAGACCTCGAAATATCGGTTGGCGGTCCCCTCTGGGCCCTCTCTTGGGGAGCCCTTGGGGCACAGTTGGTTTGTCTGGGGAGCCTCCTGAGCCGTCTTGGGGCCCTCTTCGGGGCCTCGTGGCCCGTCTTGGAGCGATCTGAAGGGCCTCCGAGCGAGGCCGTGAGGGAGCGCTGGGAAGCGGGGAAAGCGAGAACGCCTAAGTCCTTCAAAAATCATCGGAAAATTAGTGAATCTTGTCTCCCTGGGCCCTCTTGCGGAGCCTCTTGAGTCCGTCCTGGAGCGTGTTGGAGTCCTCGTCGGCCGTCTTGAGGGCAGCTTGGGCGTCTTCGGAGCCTCTTGGGACCGTCTAGGGCCCTCTCGGCCAAACGTTTGGCCACGCAGTCGTTTCCACCAAAAGCAGGGGGCGGCGGTGGTTCGCCGCAGGCGTCTTCGGCGCTTGGATCGGCGGCGCAGGCCGCAAGGTCTCTGGAACAAGTGCACTGGCCCCACCCCGTGCCACAAACTGGGAGTGGGACAACGCGATGACGGAACATGGATGCTCATTCCACAACGGCGAAGAATCATGGCATACTGCGTTGTTCGCAGCCGCAGCCGGCGCGGCGCTACCTCTCAGGCGGCCTTCCGTTGGCCGCTTCGGCGGGGGGCGCCGCGCTGTCGTTGGCGGCAGCCCCAGCCCCAGCGCATCCGCTGGCGCCAGCGATGGGTCCGGCTGACCCTGCATCTGCCAGGGCGCCCATTGCAGGGGAGCACGCGACATGCTCCGCGTGCGAGGCCGTCAGAACGAATGCGCGTCCTTCGCCGAGTTCGTACATGCGAGTCTCGGGGTCGAGGGCAACATTCGCAGACACTACCTTCCAGAGGTGTCCCGCTGGTGGCTGCTTCATCTGGGCAATGACCTCACCCAAAGGCGTGTCACCTGTCATCGTCTTGGGGCCGAAAAGCGTCATGCCGTCAAATCTTTGAACGGTGATCGTGAACTCTGAGCGCGCCATGTACGCAGTCATCAGCCGCCCGACGAGCTCAGCTGCAGCAGCCATTCCTGCCTTCTTTAGCAGGCCAGGTAGCAGGTACAACAAAAGGGCTGAGAGCGCACTGATGACTGTAATCCGCAGCGCCTTCTGCTGGGATTTCATTTGCTCCTGTTGCTGGCGAACTTCTTTTTTCTCCTGCTCAAGTTCTTTTTTCTCCTGCTCAAGTTCGGTCGATAATTCTTCCTGTTTTTTTTTGGCATCCACGATGTCGTTGCCATGCTGGCTTACCATTTCCGTCGCGAGGCCTAGCGAATGCTGAATTGTCTCGATGGTACTGTTGATCGCTTTGTACGAGTGATGGTCAAACTCTTGCATCGCTTCGATGGTATTAAGTGTCTTATTGTGTTGATGTATGTTAATCTCGAGGTGACGGGTTGTCATGTTCGTGACCTTTAGCACCTCCTCGTCCACCTTCTGCATGGACTCCACCTGCGCCATGGTCGCATTGAGGCTTTTCATTGTGTGGCCGAGACTGTGCAGGGTGTGATCCTGCGTGCGTACAACGCCTTCCAACTTCGTTGCATGATCATCTGCTTTCTTCGCTTCGTTTAACGATTCGTGAGCATCCTTGGATGCAGTCGAAGCTCTTTTCAGCGCGTCCGACGACTTTTTCTTTCCCAGCTTCGCTTGCTGGTGGGCTGTCTCTGCCCTCCTCTGCGCGGTAACGATGAGCCTGTGATGCTTGCCCATTGCGACCAGCGACTTCCGCGCTTCCTTGAGTGCGGCAGTGGACTGCGCGCGCGCTGCCTGAGCCTGAGCAAGGCTCTTCTTTGCCTTGTTCAACGCCTCCTCAGCCATGGACTGGGCCCCGGCGTAGATGTTGTAAATGGAAGCGCTTGGCAACGCCGCGCCAATGACAAACACCTGCTTCATCTCACCAACAAAAGGGCATACATATGCTCGGTGGTTCGACTCCGCAAGGTAATTACACGCTGGCCACCCTGGGGGGCAAAAGGCTGTAAAACCCAGTGCCGATCAGCTGTCCCGCCGGTGCTTGTTGCCATTTGTTCTACTCATCCTGTCCCTTGTTTCCTGCCCCTTGTCTCTCCAATCCTGTCTCTTTTCTTCTACGTGCAAGGGGGGTGATGGAAGGGGCCCGCGACGGGGGAGGGGAATAGATGCGGACAGCCCCCTGGCCGCTTTAGATGGCCTCATAATTTCCGACGAGGCCTTCAGAAGCGCTGGATGAGGGCCCAAAGAGAGCCCCGCGAGCCCACGATGGCCCAAGACCGTATCAGGGCGGTCCCAAGCCGGCTCAACGGCGCCAAGAGCACATCAAGAAGTCCCCAAGACACCTAGAGAGCAACCATTGGAATATATGTGTCTTTCAGCGTTGCCCTTTTCAAGATCTCCCCATGTTGCTTCAAGGTGATGCTCAAGAGGCCGCACAAAAGCTTCAAGATTGCCCAAAATGGCCCCGAAGTGGCCTCAGAGAGGGCAATTTCTGCGTACGCTGCTCGAAAGTCCGACCCCTCGCCTGGAACCGGAACGCCACCCCCTCCCCAAATCCCCCCTCTTCTTTCCAGACCGGGACCCGCACCCCCCTCCCCTGCGAGAACACCTCCCCCACCCCCCATCCCTGCGAGAACCTCCCCAGACCCCCCCCGATCCGAAAGTCGTGGGGGGGGGGTCGACAGCCCCCCTCTCGCCGACGGCAAACCACGTCGTCGTCGACGTCGTCGTCGGCAAAATTGGTCGACGGGGCGGGACACGTCGTTGTTCGCCGTCGCCATCGCAATCGCCGTCGTCGTCGTCGGCGAGTCGGTCAGTCGGTCGGGCGGGCGGGACACGTCGTCGTTGTGCACGAATCGGTCGGGAGAGCGGGCGGGACATGTCGTCGCCATCGTCGCCCAAGTCGTCGTCGTGGCAAGTCGTCGTCGTCGTCGTCAACGTCATCGTCGTCGGCGTGATCCTGGTCGTCGTCGTCGTCAGTTGCCGGCGCCGGGGGGGGGTCGAACACTACCCCTGTGAACTTTTGAAGGGGGAGGTCGTAGCCGCCCTCTCTGACTTCCCCTCAGCGTACTCAGAAGACGCTCTTTCTGACCTCACGCCACCAACATGCATCGCCCAGCATGGCCCAAGATGGCCCTGAGTCAGCCCCAGGACGCCGGATGTCCACGAGTCCCCGAGACGCCCCCCAGAGGCCCCAAGTTAGCCCCGACATTGCTGAAGAGAGCCCCAAAGGTGGCACCCTGGCCCCAAGATGCCCCCAATATGTTGCTGGATGGCCCAAGAAAGGCCCACGAAAGCTTCCAAGACGCTCCCAAGATACTCCCGAGCTGGCTCCGCCAGGGGGACTGGCGGTAGTGGGCGCAGCCCCTCAGATTGCCACCTTGAGTATTCAAGGCAATTTTCTTAGATCCGGACGGCTTCCCATCAACATACAGCCGGATAGTGGCGCCGTCGTATGAGACGGCATAGTGGTGCCATCGCCCATCTACGGTTGTAACTCTAGGAGACGGCCAGTAGTCTGCATCATAACCCATGAATCCCAATTTCATCGGAGACCAAACGTGCGTATGACGAGAACCGATCACCAAATTAAACGCCTGACCCCGTCTGGGAGTGCCAGATGAAAACAACTGTTGCCTTTTACGAAGGGATGTCTTTGCCCACATGCCAACAGTTCTGGGGGCGTTACCCGATACCGTCACACTTAAAGGCAACGTGGTCCGAGTTTTTGTCCCACCAAATCGTAAGATGCCGTTGTGCTGGTACTTATATGTGTATACAGGAGGCAACGCATCCATGCCGATCTGGGTGATGCGCTTGCTCTGGCCGACCTCGTCGAGGTTGGCCGAGGATGGCACGGGGTCCTCGGGGCTTCCGGCAGGCACGGGCATGGACAGATTGGTCACGGAGAACTCGACGTCATCTGACTTCCCCGTCAAGGATTTCCCCGCGTCGTCCACCGAGACAGGATGCGGGGCGGCCTCCTCGAGTGGTGATCCGCTCAGGACACCCCGAAAGTCAACAGCCAAGGCTTCCCGGCGAATGACGCTCCCACCTGTCTTTGCACCAGCGAGCCTGAGCGAACACATGAAGACGCAAAGAACAATCAACGCCATTGCGCAATGATCTCCGCCACCGTGCCGTCGGCACGACGGGGCGTGTTAGAATGCTCGTCAGTTGTCTGGTAGGGGTTCTGTTAGGTTTCTAAGGCCTGCCGACCCCCCACCGCACGCACCCTCAGAAAACCCCCAGCCGCCCTGAAGCGGCTACAAATCCAAAGACGGCCCACCGATCTCCGAGGCGGCCCAACAGAGCACCAATACGATCAAGCCGAGAGAAGTCAAACGCATGTATCTTGAAGTCTTTGAAGGATTGACGTATGTTCTCCTTTTTGGGGCTCCATGAGCTCACGACGGCTTAACAGGGCAGCACAATCGCCCAAAGACGGCTCACAGGGCCCCAAAGAGTGCTCTAAGATAACCAAGGAGGGGCCCCATCACGGCCCAAGAGGGCCCCAAGACGGCCAAGGCGGGACACGAGGGAGCCACAAACGCGGCAGAGGGTCCTTGTGGTCTTGGGTGCCTTCCTCTCCAAGACTTGTGTTTCGCCTTCCTATCCAAGGCTTTTGTTTCGCCTTTCCCTCGCAAGGCCCCACAGAAACCCACAGAGGCCCCCAGGAAGCCCCAAGAGGCCCCCAATAGGCTCCCAAAAGGCCCCTCAAGATGCCCCCAACGCCCATGACATATTCCCAAGAAGGCCCTGAACACGGACCCGAATGCCCCCCATGAGGCCCTCAAGAAGATTCAGAGAACCCTCCGAGATGCCTTCAAGAAGGAGGAGGGGAGAGGGGAGAGAGGAGGGGGAGGAGCACGGAGAAAGGAAAGCGGAGAACGAGGCTGTGGACAAGAATTGGCGGTCAAACCTCGCTCCAGTTCGGCGCCATGTCTGAGCTGGCGCGGGCCTTCAGTTAAACCTCCCTCCTGCTGCGCTGCTGCGCTGGCGCGGTGGCGAGGATTGCAGCGGGAAGCTGGGCTGGTGAGAGGGCAGCTCGGCCTCTGAGCTGCCAGGCGTTGCCAGAACGCCGCGAGGTTTCTTTAAGAGTGCTCCGATGCTTGAGCCAGAATACAATGACACGTTGCTTGGGGCTACGTGCTTCCCATGTCCTAAGTCTGGGGTTCTTGGTATCCCTGTGATGCCTTCGCCTCCTGCCTTCCCTCCCGCCACATTCCTCACACACTCATACCCAGGTCAGAGCACAATTGAAATACTTCGAACACCAACCCACTCATACTTCAAACTCTGACCCAGTCATAACTGGTGCCCACTCACACCCAGTCTCTGACTTACTTACGCTCAGAATCACTCACACTCAGATGAATTAACCCGTGCCCCAAGTTACTCATACTCAGGACCATTCGCACTCAGACTCAGCCTCACTCAGACTCACAAAGACAAACGCACGCACGCACAGAGAGATAGAGAGAGAGAAAGAGAGAGAGACAGAGAGAGAGAGAGATGAAAAGGAGGGAGCGGAAGGGAAACTAGGAACTGCTAGTCCATTTGGTTACGGATACCATCGACCATCCCTTTGCAAAAACGAAAACGATGATTTTAGGAACCACACCTAGCATACATACAGACATCGATGCTAGAACCACGCGCGCTTCGCGCGCGCTTAGGTTCTAGTCCGGCGGGGCGAATCTCTGCTGGAACCTTACGGGTGAGAAAGAAGGGGCAGGACGGAAGTGAACCATGCCGAAGGAGGACGGAAATGGGGAGAGGGACGGTGGAGGAAGGATGCTCATGCAAGAGCAGGGACAGTGGAGGGAGGAGGCGGATGCTAGGGAGAGATAGATGAGGGGGTGAGACGGCGGGCAGCGGGGAGAAACATGGGGAGATGGGAAGGCGGAAGAAAGAGGCGGGATGAAGAAGAGACGGGAGAGGAGGGAGGAAGGATGGATGGGGGCAGAAGGCAGAGGGCAGGATGTCTGGAGGCAGAGGCACGAGAGGGAGAAGGCAGGAGGGGGAGGGAACGGAGGAAGCTACAGACGGAGCACGGGCAGGGAGGAGAGATGGCAGAGGAATGCAGCGGAAGCAATCTGGAGATGGAGGCGGAGGGGGGTTAAGAAGTGCAAAGAGGGAAAGAAGGATTGAAAGAGAATGGGAGGCATGTCCGGGCGGGAGTGGGGGGCAGAATGATGAGGGAAGAGGGGGAGAACGGATGAGAGAGGAGGGATTATGATAGTGGCAGGAAAGATACGGCAGGCGGCCAGCTTGGGCTCAACTTGTTTTTTTTTTAAGGCCAGCCTGGGCTCAACTGTTATGGAGGGGTACTCTGTTCGACTGTCTGAAGGACTTGGGCACCCTGGCTGGGTTCTCTTAAAGCCATATTGGGGCTGTTTGGGGCTCATCTTGGGCTGGCTTGGGGCCTTGGGGGCGCTTCTGTGGCGTCGTGGGATTGGCTCGGGCTGTATTGGGACCGTCTATGGGGCACTCTTGATGCTTTTTGTTGGCCCGTCCGGGCACGATCTTGGAGGCTTCTGAAGCTGTCGGGGACACTCTGGACGAGTGTGCGAATATCTGTACATATATATATATATATATGTGGGAAATCAGTGATTTGAGAATTATGGCGCTTTCTCCTCCGATGAGCGTACAAACCCTCAAGATGCCTCCAAGATCGCTCAAGAGCCCCAAGAGGGGCCTAGGAGGGCTGTGAGTGAGACGGTCCCAAGCCCAAGAGCGCCCCTACAGCCTACATGGCCCCAAAGGGCGATTTTGAGGGCTCCGACGAGGGGGAATTGTGATATACGCCGTCCCTTTGTTTCATCGATGTTCTGCAAGATGTCCCCAAGAGGGCCCGCAAGAGAGCCCCATCCCAAAGACGTCCAAAATTGCCCCAAAAGAGATCCAAGACGCCTCCACGAAGCGAAAGATCCGCGAAGGCCTTTGGCGATTGACGTCTGCATGCATGGTGTTGAACTGTCATGGGCAGGGCAACCTGGCTGGCAATCGTTTCAGGATGGGCCAGGGATGCGCCAAGTGTCAAACATGTGCCGTGCAGCTCAGCGCTTGCTGCTGGCGCCCGTCGTGTGCCCGTGGCCTACATGGGACTGCTGCGAGAGGTACTGCTGGTGGCCACTGTGATGGAGACCGAGGTTCTGGCACTGGCCATCGTGCTGGTAGTGGTGCTGCTGCTGCTAATGATGGTGTTAGTACCGGCCTTGGTGTGAGCCGCGGCCGCTGGACGGTATCTGTGCGAGTGGTACATGGAAGCCGTGAGGCCAGCGGTGCCGGCAGTGCTGGAGGCCATGGTACTGCCAACTGCGGCTGCTGCGAGCTGTCGGCCGAGAGCGGCCGTGCTGGGAGCCGTGGTGCGGCAAGTGGTGCTGATGCGATTGGCGCTGCTGGCTGGGGGTCAATGTTAGTCAAGCGCGTTCCACTACTCGCACAGCAACTACTCGCAAGTGGCCTGGATCAGCCAATTGGGATTTACGATCCATCACGTTGAGGCTAAACTATGTTCTTGTTTCGAACGTTTGCGAGTATGCACTTTGCGAGTAGTGGAACGCGCTCGGTGAAGAGTGCCGCTGGATGCTGTCTCAGCGAATGGTCTTGTGGTGCCAGCGGTGCCAAGAGACGGCGCGGTGCTTGTGGACTGTGCTGTAGCGGGTGGTGCTGCTGGGACCCGCCGTGCTGAAGGGGAGAGGAAAGGAGGAGGGACGATGGAGAAGGAAGGAGAGAGGAATCACCCCCTCCTGCCAGACCTGAGCTGAATCGAATCGCTAAAAATCTGATCGGATTGGGAACGGATCGGATCGACAAATAAACGCCCCAAATCGAATCGAAAGCGAACCGCCGCGCCTGGCTCCGGCTGGCCTTGGCAGATGCTGGCGAACCGAACCGAATCGAATCGGCATCGCGGCCCTGGCTGGCGATCGAATCGCGTCGGATCAGAACGTACGTGGCCCTGCGTGCTCGCTGGCGAGGGCCCCTTGGTCCGCCAGTCGACCCCTGACTCGGTGGGGGCCAGGGTCCGAGAGGCAAGCTGAGGGCTGTCCTCCGTAGAAGCATTGGGGCCCCACGGGGATGCTCGTGGGGCCCCTCTTGCGGAGTCAATCCCGTTCGGGCGCCTTTGCTGGCACGCTTGACATGCCCTGAGCTGTCGCGAGGCCGACTTGGGACCACCTAGGGCATCGTCCAGAGCGGTCTTGGAACCGTCTTGGGCCGTCTTGAGCTCCCCAGGACGTCCCGAGTCGTTTTTGGACGAACCCGAAGCCCAGTGAGGGCTCGCAGAGGCCGAACATGATCAAGAACCTCTCGTCGCTATTTTTGTGAAGACGCAGGCATGTCTTTGCTTGCAACTCTCTGGAGGCCCTCTTGGGGCTCTCCTGGGCTGCCTCTGGGCGCTCCTGGGGCCCCTCTTGGGGGGCGCTTCCGGGTGGCCCTGGGCTCGCTCCTGCGAGACCTCATGGGGGTCGTCCTGCAACGACCGGTGGGGAGCCTGAAGCATGTACAGTCATCGCACTACCAGAAGGAACGCGGAATGAGGAACGAAGGGGCATTTCTGGCCACGGCGAGCCTCAGCCACGAAGAGGTTCCCCGACATAGATCTAAGGCACGGCCCGAAAACCAAAGCCCCTCCTGACTCCCAAATTGGTCCTTATTTCAGCGTATTGACTGCATTCGGGCTAGTTTGGCGGATCCAACACCGGGAACAAAATCATTACATAAACATAACATGTCTGAGGTCCGTGAGGATTTCTCGGATCGGCGCTGACCCCCTGGCGGCGCCCCCGGCGATGCCTCTGGCGAGCTCCGCGCGCCAGGGAGGGGGTCCAGCGCCGATCCAAGAAATCCGCGCGGACCTCTGAAAGGTTTTGTTTATTTCATGTGTTTATTCCGCGACAACAAGGCCACAAGACGGCCAGAAGAGAGCCCCATGACGGCCCGAAGAGAGCCACATGACGGCCCATGATGACCCCTAAGACGCCCCCCAAGCACTCCAAATCGTAGCCCGGTCGTTGAGGAAGAGCGTGTTTGGTAGCAGTGTGGCCCCAAGAAGCCCCCATGAGCCCCTCGAACGAGCCCAGGAGGCCTTCGGATGCCCCACAGA